CACATTAGAAGCTTCCTTGAAATTTATCATCATTTTTTTCTTTTTTTTTCCTTTGAAGCAGTAAATATTTAAAAATAAAAGACATAAAGGTATTATATGCTTCCCAATTATTTAAATCCACCTAACCTTTTTATAAATACCCTATTGGAGAACATTTTAAGGTTATATAATACATTTAAAACATCTATCGTCCTGTTTTTTAGTTCAAAAATCAACCCAAAAAAAAAAAAAAACCCCTCGTCACCAATTATTTCATCCAAAAAAATTAAAAACAGAAGAATGTTGTCACCAATTAAAGGGCTATGCCTCTGAATTAATTACGTTATGAACTGACCACAAGCTGAAGACGAACCAATACCTTAAAAAGAGTATGTGGAGACGTGACCAGGAGAGACCTGAGAGCATGAAAAACAGTGCAGTAATTGTCTTACTACAAATCAGCCCCATTTTTTTGGACCAAGTAAGAAATTAGTTTTGAAAATCTATAATCCTAGAATAAATATAAGTACGGAAGAGATTTCTATTCGGTTTTTGTTATTTATACTAGTGTCTTTCTGTTTGTGTCTCTAAACTCGAGATTTGACTTCACAACTAAGAATATTAATTAGTTGAATATAATGATTTTACTGTTAAAAAAGTATTTTATTTTCTTTAAATTTTACAAAGAAAAATTGTAGAAAATAGAATTTTGGAACCCAAACAATGGGCAGGGTGGTCAAAAGAGTTTGCTCTCTCCCTTTATTTCTTACGTTAAAAATTTGGTACCATCTTTTAAAAGAATTTTTCTCCAGAATGCACTATTTCATTACCAGATATTTAGAAAAGTTCCAAAAAGTTTCTAAATTAAAAAAAAAATACTTTTTAATTGATTTTTTATTGGAGATGTGAATTAAACTACATTTTGAAATCCACACATATTACTAAAGAAATTAAAAAAATGTAAAATTTACACTAATTCAAATATTCTAAAATAAGAAGTTGGCTATGATTTGAAGAAAATATTAATCACCTAAAAGCATCATTTTTGAAAAAAAAGTATCATGTCTAGTTTAATCCTAAAAGTTTATCTTCTAAAAATTTCTATTTTTTGCCAAATTATTTTTAACCAATTTTCAAGTTTCTTATCTAATCCTTTTTTTTTTTTTTTGTAGCATCATATTAAATCAATTGTCGGATCTCGATGTCGAGAGTCTTATCAATTCAACATCGAATTCGGCTTAAGTTTTGACATATTCGGTATGTCGGAGAACGACCTAATTACTAAAGATGATTAATTTGATTCAATTAACAACATCGATCCCTATTAGATAAGAGACTTATTAAATTAACTTAAAATTTTCTCTATTTTTTATTATTATTTTCTTCTTTTTTTGTTTGTTTTTCTTTTTTTTTTTGAATTTTTTAGATTTAGACAAAATATATCGAAATCACCATTTGTCCATAATAAATAGGAGACTCGTTGGTCCGACATCATAAGCAAATGAAGATCCATGCATTAAAATAAAATTCATAATCTAAATATTTTTAATTTTTTTTAACATACCTAAAATTAAATATTTATTACAAAATAACGTAATAATTAAATAGCGTAAGAGAAACAAACCAAATGATAAATGAAAAGTGACCAAAATACACTTGGAATGTTGCTTGAAGAGACAAAAACGTCCATGCTCTTAAAAATAACATAATTGCCCCCAGTCGGTTGTGAAATGATCTAAATACCCCTGTATATAATAATTACCAAAATGAACCATCCCATAAAATTACCAAAATGCCCATATTGTTAAAATTATAAAACTTCCCCTTAAAACCCTCAATGTTATTGCCGAGACATCCAACCACTCGTCCGACCATCCTTCGGGCGTGTTGATCGATCCGCATCCCGAAGGAAGTCATCACTAATTGTTTTGTGGTGGTGCAAGACATCGTCGTTGATGAAAGAGGGAGATTGACGTCAATAAAGTTTTGGCCATCTCTCCCTCTCTTTTTGATGTCAATTCTAGTCATAGTGAGGTGTGTAAAGAATACAAAACTGCCCACATGACCACGAGGAACATTTCTACGATGGATAGGAGGTCCGATTTTGTCGTGTTGGAGAGATTTTTCTAGGTTGTGTTAAATGGCTTAAGAAATGGGGTTTTGATCAATTGACGATGATTCACATATTTTCTTCCATAATTACAAGAGGGAATGGTTGATGGAGGCTTTAGGAAAACTTCTATGGTAAGGGGGATTGTTAGTTTGGCTAGAATTGAGAGAATTGGCTGGGTCCCTAAACGGGGTCGGTTCGTCAAACTTTTCTCCTCAATTCAAGCCTCCTCTAACGTCTTCTTATTCCCTAATCAATCGAGAATGATAGATCTAGTGATGGGCTATCTATTAGTGGTGGTGGATGGAGAGGATATAAAATAGAATACGATCGATATGAGTGAAGAGTTTCAACGGGTCCGATTCGCGAGCCAACGGTCGACCGGTGCTCTTTAGGGGCTATTTGGCTTTTTTGTTTTTAGAAGAAAATGGTTGCTAGTAAGGAAGGTGAATAGTTTTCATAGCTAGGGCTCTTTTATGGGTTGAAAAAAAGAAGAAGATGATGAATAGTAAAGGTTATATTTTTCCCACTAGGGTTTTTTATGAGGAAGATGGATAAATATAAAGGCTAGGGTTTTTAGGTTAAGTAATATATTGTGGTTAGGGTTTTTGGGATAGGTAGATAGGTTATGGAGCTACATTGTTTTATGATAGGTGAATAATGGAGGCTAGATTGTTTTTTACGGGAAGATGGGTGATAGAGGCTCCTCTAAAAAATGAAGTGAAAGGATGTTTATATAAAGATTTTTTAGGGTTTAGGATAAAATCAACCTTGGTCCTTCCTTGATTTGTTTTTATAAATTTCAATATATATTCCATTATTTTTTCTCCAATTATCTTCTCAATTGAAATTGTTTAATCCCTTTCCAATTATATCCTTAATTGAATGTTACTTGGTCCTCGCTTTTCATATCATTTTCAATTGGATCCCAAATCATCTTCTCAATTTTTTTCTCTTTTTTTCTTTTTCTTTTTTTCCTTTTTAATTAAAAATGGTGACAAATCCTAAGAAGTTAAAATCGTAGAAATTTATAACAATGCTTAAAAATCATTAAAAAGACAAGCTATAAATATTATCAATTTTTTTTTTTGAATTTTTGAATTTTGTATGAAAATAAATGGAGGGTCAAAAAAGAGTTGGGTTATTATAGTTGCTCTTTCTTTATAATGCTTATGGCACAAATTTAAATGAAACAGATGTTGTTTTTCAATGACTTTGAATAATAAGCTTGTAAAGAATTTTTTTTTACAAGATTGATCCGATTGTTTCGGGTGACCTTTTCCGAAAAGTAAAATATAATAGTCTCATCGTGTGAATGGCGGCTCGCCTTGAAAGTAAAATACGATCAACTCGTTGTGAATGATGGCTTGCCTTAAAGAGCAAAATGCGATAGCCTCATTGTGAAGGATGGCTTGTCTTAAAGAGCAAAATACGATAACCTCATTGTGAAGGGTGGCAAGCCATGAAAAGCAAAACGCAATAGCTTCATTTTGAAGGATGACTTGCCCCGAAAAGTAAAATGTGATTGTCTTATTTGTGAAGAGTGGCCTACTTTAAAAAGTAAAATGCAATATTCAAACGAGATTAGAGAAACGAACCTTTTGACATGTGATCCGATAAAAAAGATATACGACCCACTTTGGGTGATCTTTTTTAAAAAAAAACAAATCGGAGAAACGAACTTTTGACATGTGATATGATCGAAAAAAATATATGAATCACTTTGATAATCTTTATCTTTTTTTTTTTTTCGAAAAACAAGATCGAAAAATAAATCTTTGATAGGTGATCCAATCGAAAAAGATATACAAACCGTTTTTGGTGATCTTTTTCTTTAAAAAATAAGATCGTGGAAACAAATCTTTGATATGTGATTTGATCGAAAAAAATAACCCAAGGCAAAAGATATACGAATCGCTTTGGGTTATCTTTTTCTTTTTTAAAAAAGAGATCGAAGAAATGAAACTTTGACATTGTGGTTCAATAAAAAAAGATATACAAAGCACTTTTGATGATTTTTTTCCTTAAAAAAAATTAGATCGAAAAAACTAACCTTTAACAAGTGATCCAATTGAAAAAGAATATGAACCTTTTTGAGTAATCTTTTTCTTTTTTTAAAAAACGAGATCGAAGAAATGAACATTTGACAGAGTTATAAAAAATAATTTCGTTTAAACCAATACTCTTAGATAATTATGTGGTTTTCAATTAAAAACCTAGATCTTTAGTTTAGTATTCAAGCTTATATTTTTAGAGTCATTATTGCTTAAAAAAAAAAAAATTCTTTGTTGCATTTATGTGTGGGTTGTAACTTAAGATGATAATTTAGAAATGAAATCCACTAATTACTTATCATATTATCAACATTTTACAAACTTGGTTAAAAATCTATTTTTATATAGTAGTTTGAGTATTTAATTTGTCTTTATATTTTTAATGGTATCTATTATGTCTTAAATAATAATTATATTTTCAATCTAGATTTTCGATTAATTTTTTCAGACATGAACAAAATTTTTAATTGAAATATATTTAATTAAAACGTAAAAAAACAATCTAAAAACTTCACATATCATTTGATATTAAGTGGTTTTTTTTATTATATTTATATTTTAGTTAGAAGTATTTTGTTAAAAAAATTATTTGTAATTAGAAAAATTAGTCAAAAATATATACTGAACATTATAATAATATTTAAAAATATAATAAATACGATAAAAAAAACGTAGACAAATATTTTAACCAATTTACCCTAAAAACTTACAAAAGCATGTAAGATAATATATAAATAAATATTCTCGATAAAGTTTAAAGGAAAAGGTGTCATCCACCCAAAATATATTATATAGTAAATAGTGAAAGAACAAAGAGGGAGCGCCCTGGTTTCGACCACCGCCGGCATAGTTCCCAAATGAAGAAAGCACAACTAGTTCTAGTCCCTTCACCTGGCATTGGCCACCTTGTATCCACTATTGAATTTGCTAAACGCTTACTTGATCAAGATGAAAGTTTCCTAGTAACAGTTCTTGTCATCAAAGCACCATTTGCTCCTGACATAGACACCTCCAATCAATCAAAGATCGCTACCATCGATACTCGAATTAAATACATCACCCTTCCTCAAGCAACCCCACCAGATCTAGAATTTTTAAGGTCTCCTGAAAACTATGTTTCCACTTTCATGGAAGCTCACAAACCCCATATAAGAGATGCCGTCATCAACCAAGTCATGTCCAACAAGTCAGTCCCAATTGTTGGTTTGGTTGTTGACTTGTTCTGTTCTTCAATGATTGAAGTTGCTAAGGAACTTGGGATTTCTTCTTATGTTTACTTCGCTTCTGGTGCTGCCTTTCTCGGTCTCTTGCTTTATCTTCCAACAAGGCAAGATCAGGTTGAGTTTAAAGAAACCGATCCTGACTTGACTCTACCCTGTTTTGTCAATCCTGTGCCTGCTAGGATCATGCCGTCGGTGTTGTTGAAGGATGGTGGATACATCTGCTTTGAAAACCACGCAAGAAGATTCAAAGAGGCTAAGGGTATCATAGTCAATACATTCACTGAGCTCGAATCCCATGCAGTCAGCTCTTTTTCGGGTAAGGATACACCCCCAGTTTACCCGGTGGGGCCTCTGCTTAACATCAATGGTCAGAGTTTGATGGGGTCAAATTTGGAGGAACATGGTAAGATCATGAGATGGCTTGATGATCAACCAGAAAAATCAGTGGTCTTCTTGTGCTTCGGAAGCATAGGGCGTTTTAGAGAAGCCCAAGTGAAAGAAATTGCGCTTGGGTTGGAACAAAGTGGACACAGATTCTTATGGTCCATCCGCAAGCCACCACCTGAAGGGCAGCTTAAGCTGCCCAGTGATTACTCGAGTTACGAAGAGGTCTTGCCAAATGGGTTTCTGGAAAGGACCAAAAATATCGGCATGGTTTGTGGCTGGACTCCACAAATGCAAGTCTTGGCTCACAAAGCCGTAGCAGGGTTTGTCTCGCATTGCGGATGGAACTCGGTTTTAGAGAGCTTATGGCACGGTGTGCCTGTTCTGACATGGCCGATGTATGCCGAGCAGCAAACTAACGCATTTGAAATGGTGAAGGATTTGGGGCTAGCGGTGGAGATGACATTAGATTATAGGATGCGATCTAATGATATTGTGTTGGCTGATAAGATTGCAGAGTCTGTGAAATGTGTGATGGAGGAAGACAGTGAAATAAGAACTAAGGTAAATGCAATGAGTGAAATTAGCAGGAAAGCTGTAATGGATGGTGGATCTTCGTTTGCTGCTTTTGGAGACTTGATTGAGAATATGTTATCTTGACGAATTTTCTGCTATTTTAATTTTGTGTACCTTCTTGGAGTTTCATTTGAACAATGTATAATTATTTTAACCATAAGGTTGATTTGGAAATTAAGGTCAGATATTTTATGATTAGTATTTTTAAAAATTTATTCTCAAATTCGTGTGTTGAAAAATATCATTTAATTATATCAAGAAAAAAATTAATCTTGAAATACACGAAGCCATTTTTAATGTTGAAAAAAAAAGTATCAATTATTTTAGTGCTTTATTAGACCTAAACCTCAAAGGACTTTCTTCCAAGGAAGCGTCTATTTTTCTTTTCAGATATGATAATTGTATTAATAATAAGTTATTATAGTGCCTTTTAGCATGCGACGTTAAATAATAATGTAAAATTATTTTTAAAATTTGAAATGAAGATTTAAGTATTTGAGTTGTTAGTTGACATTTTTATGAGGAAACGATCAGGAATTTCATTTTTTTATAATTAAAAATAAAAATTAAATATAATGTAGCATTGAGTTTGTATAAATTTCAAGTTTTAAAATTTTTTATTTGAAAAAATATTTTAGAAATAATATAAAAAAATTATTTTAAAAATCTATTTAGTAATTTAATCTTGTGAATTGAAATAATTTTTTAATATTTTTTTTAATTATTATTATTGGTTGTGAAACATAGTTTTGGTATGTTGTAATTTTCATTCTAGAAGTATTCGTTGAGATTCTAGAAGTCAATCAATTAAAAAATCTTTAAATTGCATAAACTAAAAGAATTTTCATTCAACACAAGCATATTTAATCTAATAATTAATAATTATATATATTGTAATTTTTTAATAAAATAATATTCGAGTATTAATAATTATAAATTTTCAACTACAATTATATAATGAAATAAAACTGGCTATTACTATATATCTAAAAGAGGTGGGGGTTCTGATTGTTCATAATCCTGTTCCCCTTTGCTGTTTTGTTTATATACAAACTTTGTAACTCACGTAGAACAAAGCATTTGAAGTCCAACGGTTACGATAAGTGCTTTCTAAGGAATAAACCAAGGTTCGACTCGCGATAAATGCAAATTTATCCAGCTGCTTTCTTTTGTGTTTTGTTTTTCATTTCTCCCGGCCTTTCTTCTACTTCTTACAAGCAAGGTTTGTTTTTTTGTTTTTTTTTTCTTTTCTTTTTAAGTAGTTTAGTTTCACTGATTCCTGTGGTAAGTGTTTTCTTTTCTTTTTTTCTTTTTTAGTTTAGTTTCATCGTACATGTGTTTTTTTTTCCTCATTTACTTTTTTTTCCCATGTTCTATTTTATTTAATTTTCAAAACTTTTTAAATTTGTTTTATTTTGACATCTAAAATTTTAAAATAAAAATTTTAATCCTCTAACTAATGCTCTACTGTTTTTTTCATCAATCTATATCCTTTTTTTATTTATTTAATTAGATGTTAAAATCTTGAAAAATCAATTTTTGCTTCTTTTTTTCCATCAATTTATGTTCTTTTTTTTTATTTAATTAGGTATTAAAATTTTAAAAAATTAATTATTATTTTTTTTACACAAACTGACTATTATATAATATATACGATATTTTTTATATTTATATGTTTCTTTGCTTTTTTTTCATCAATTTATTTTTTTATTTAATTAGGTGTTAAAATTTTGAAAAATCAATTAGTTTTTTTCTTTTTTACATAAACTCAATATTATATAATATTACGTTATTTTTTATATTTATATGATATATCCTTTTTTTTTTTTTTAGTTTCACTATACATGCCTTTTTCCCCCTTTACTTTTTTTTATCAATTTAGTTTCTTTTTTTATTATTTTTTTAAATTTTCAGATTATTTTATTTTGATCTCTAAATTTTAAAATAAAAATTTTAATTCCCTAACCGATACACTACACATGCTTTTTTTTTCTTTGTTTTTTTTCATAAATTTATGTTCTTGTTTTTATTTAATTAGGTGTTAAAATTTTAAAAAATCAATCATTATTCTTTTTTTTTTTTTCACAAAGTGACTATTATATAATATGTATGATATTTTTTACATTTATATGATATGTTTTAAGATTTTAGAATAAATAAACTATTATTATTGTTTAAAATTGATTTTTTCGATAAAAATTCTCATCAAGTTAATTTTTATTCTTATTTTTTATATAATTTTTTTATTAATAAATATGACTTATTTTCTCTATGTACATATTCGAATAAGTTTTTTTATACTTTTTTTATTTGTTTAATTCTTATATAATCAAATTTTAAAATTTGAATATATGTATTTTATTTTCTTATTTTTTATATAATCAAATTTTATTGAAATCAATTTTATAGTTTTTACTGTACTTTATTAACTTCAATATATATTTTACTATTTAATGTTTTTTAAAAAAATTCTATTATATTTTATACATTCTCACCTATTGAGTATGGTCATAATGTATAAAAATAATAATAATAGAGTCATTGATTTTATTAGAAATCAATTATGCATCTACACACAAAATGCCAACTATTTGCTATTATTTTAATATTTAAAATAATTTTTAAATAAAATAATTGAAATGATATTTCAGAATAATTGCCTAATAATTCAAATACAATTTTGTATACTAATATTATTCATTGTTTTGTAAATAACTATATATAAATCAAATGTATATATTTAAAAAAACAATATTCTCATCAATAAAAAAAGTTTCATTTGTTAATTCTTATACAAGTTTTTATATTAATTTTTTCTTTATTTCTTTTTGATGCAATGTAATGAAAAAAATATTAAGATGTTTTTTTCTAAATTTTATATTAAAATTTGTTTATTATAGGTTTTCATATATATACTATCTTTTTATGTTTTAAAATTAACATATACTTCAACTTATATTACTCTTATAATTTAAACTTCATTATTTGAATTTATCATTTCTTATGAAAATTCTCATCCAATTAATAATTTTTTATATTAGATTTTATTTACTAATAAATATAATTTATTTTTCTTTGTGTTTGAATTTTAGAATAAAATTTTAAAACACGATTGTTTTTTCTTTTTTAAAAAAATAAATTTGTATAATATATATATATATATATATATCATGAATTCTTACAATTTTTAAATGATAGTTGCGTATATATAAATATATAATTATTTAATTCGAAAAGGTTAAAAGTGTATTTCAAATAATTTATTTCGAGTCCACTATATATGATCAAGACGTATAAAAAAACTATTGAATCATTGATTTTATTTAAAATTAACTATATATCTTCCAACATAGTATAAATTATTTATCATGAATAATTTTTAAACATTATAGAACCAATTTTTTGAAATAAAAAATTAAAATAATGTTTTAAAGGAATCAACTAATTGTTCAAATAAAATTTTTTATGTTAATTGTATTGATTATTTTATAAATAAATTAATATATATAGATCTAATGAATATACTTGAAAAGAAAAATAATCTTCTCACCGATATTAAATGAGAATAAAATTTTATTTTTTCATTCTTTATTTTTTATGTAGGTTTATACATTAATTGTAACTTTATCTTTTTGATACATTCTTATAAAAAAAATATAGTTTTAAAGCACTTGCTTTTGAATTCTTAATTAATATTAAAGATTTAAATTATTATAAGTTTATTTAAGAATTCCTAAATAAAAAATAATAAATCAAGTTTTTTTTTAAGCAGAAATTTTATGAAAAACACAAAAAAATTGTAATGATTAAATAAAAAACTAATGAAAAAATTATAAAATTTTTAAATGATTTTGTTCTATTTACCCGTAACCTTGCACATATAATTTTAAAAATTAATCTTCTCATCAACATTAAATAAGAATTTTTTTCTCATTCGTTAATTTTTGTAAAAGTCTATGCATTAATTATAACTTTATTTTCTGAAATAGAATATTATAAAAATTATATTTTAAAAGGTGTTTTTAGTTCTTGATTAATATTTTAGTTAAAATTATTATATTTTTTTATTTTAAAATCAAACCATGAAGAAGAATTATTTATGTTTTTTTAAGTATAAAATTTATTAAATTTTTTTTATTAAATTAAAATGAATAAAAAAATTTTAAAAATTTAAAATAATTTTTTTATCAGACATGTAGCATAACGCGGACAAGTGATTATTCTCTTTTTATATTGACTGAAAATCTGAAATATCTACGAGAATTTTCATGGAGATTATAGAATTATTTTTACATAAGTAAGAGACAGTCAGTTTCTTTTTATGTTTGCATGATTATTCCCTTCCGTGTCCACAACCAACCCAAATGTTTTTGTTTGACTAACTTTTTTCGACCAAATTGACATGAATAACACGCAAACACATTCTCCAATAAAAGAACTGGCTACTTTGACCCGCTGTTCAAACTATCAACGACAAACTTTTATTTTTTATTTGTACCTCGTTATATAATACTTCGAGTCGATTTTTTTTAAAATTTTTAATAATATTTTATATTTTATTAAAAATTTTATTTTTAATTCATTTTTTTCTATAAATAAAATTTTTTAATCAAAATTCTTTTTATTAAAATAAAAAACATGTAAAATCACATTAATTATATGTTTTATTTTTGAAGTTTTAATTTTATATTATTTTTTACTCAGAAGCGTTTCAGTTAAAAAATAATTTTTCATTGTTCGAAAAAATTAATCGAAATAATAGATTAAATATCTTAAAATAAATAAAATATAATAAAAAATTTTAAAATAAATAAAAATTTTATGATATTATATAAAAATAAATTGAGTTATTTATTTTTTTATTTTATTATGAAACAGCCGACATGATATTATTGAATATTTTAAAGAAAAGATTAGGTTGCAATGATAATTTTAATCAAAATTTAAAAAAATCACTCAAAAGTGATATAAACATAAAATAAAAATTAAATATAAATGAAAATATTTTTATTACTTTCAAATAGCTTAAGACTATGCTTTAACCAATAAATTCATAAAATAAAATAATTATTAATAATTATTTC